CGAGCCGCACGAACAACATCGGTTGCCACACGAACCTCACCGGTACCAACGTCGTGAGGTACATAAGATTCCAAAACGCGTTCGCGCGACTTCCCCGCGGCGACCGTCTTCGCAATATCAACAGCAACGTGTTCGCCTCAACCAACCCGTTTCGACACGTCTCCATCGCCCGCTCCGGTCGTCTCAGCACGTGTGCGAGCAAAACGGACGTCACTGCGTGATGAATCAACACCAATCGAGCCCCACCGGGCACCGCGCGCGGCCACAGTGCGATCCATAAAAAATCTAACGCGATGTAACCGAGGAAAACCTTCGTCACCAATAAACCATCCACGCGCTCGAGCAAGCCGAGCGCGCACAGGGCGGATAGAGCGAACAACGCGGGAATATTCGCGACATCGTGCGTCGCCACGCACGACGTCGAGGCGTCGCGCGACATGATCGATGAGGACCGCGTGACCGCACTGTGCGGGAAACGCGTCGAAAAAGTAACGAGCCCGCGCGTCCAATATTATACCACACGTACGACTATCTATACCAAACAAAACCGTCACCTGCATTAACCGTTTCTGAACTTCTGGAAAACTCCTTGATGGTGATTTGTGTCGTTAACTGCGCGTAGGGTCCCTCAGGGCGATGGCAACTCGCGAACGCCGCACTCACGCGCGCGCGCGATGCGCACCCTCGCTCGAGCGCCCGCGGCGCGATGTGTCTCCATCCAACGCTCTCGTGACCGTGACGTCGTGAAGAACGCGCGCGTGGCGACGCCGCGAGCAACGATTGTTCCGAGAGGTTTTCGACCCAACGCTCGTGCCTCGTCGCGCGCCGGCGTCGTCCTCGATCGCTCGCGCTCGACAGTGGTCGCGAAGTCGTCCTCGAGCGATGAAGCTCCCAGGTTGACCCGCTCGAAAACGTTCACGGAGACGTTCATGACGGGCGTGGACGTGCGCGCGGCGCTCGATGCCGGGTTCGGGAGCGTCGCGCTGCTCGGCGCTACGGCACTGTCGTTGATGCTGGCGAACAGCGCCGCAAGCGGGGTATGGGCTTCATTTTGGCACGCCCACATCGGTCCGGCCGCGCTCGGGTTGAACATGTCGTTGCATCACTGGACGAACGAGGGTTTGATGGCGCTGTTCTTTTTTGCCGTCGGGCTGGAGATAAAACGCGAATTCGTCCACGGGTCGCTGAAGAGCATTAAGCAGGCAGCGCTGCCGTGCATCGGTGCTTTGGGGGGTATGATCGTACCGATGGGGGTGTATTTGGCGCTGAATAACCCGGCGATGACGGCCTCGGCAGTGGTCGCCGGATGGGCCATTCCGATGGCGACGGATATCGCCTTCGCCATGGGTGTGTACAATTTTTTCAAGAATAAACTGCCGGGCGGCGTCGCGGCGTTCCTATTGACGCTTGCCACCGTGGATGACCTCGGTGCGATCGCCGTGATCGCGGTGTGCTTCGCCAAGTCGTTGACGATGTCTTACATCGCTGGGGCGGCGGCGGCGACTGGGGCGCTCTTCTTGGCGTGCAAGAAGGAAGTCACCAACATGGCCGTCTACGCCGGTCTAGGTGTCGCTCTTTGGTACTGCCTGTTGCAGGGGGGGATCAACGCCGATGTCGCGGGCGTGATCGCGGCGTTTGCCGTGCCCGGGAACGCGCCGGCGCCAGCTGGGAGCGACGCGACGCCCGAACACGAGGGCGGAGAGCCAACGCTCTTGGATCACCTCGTGCACAAGTTCGCCCCGCTCTCAGCGTTGGTCATAATGCCTCTGTTCGCATTGGCGAACACGGGCGTGCCGCTGGACGCGAGCATGATAGGCAAGGTGTTCACCGAACCCGTCGGCCAAGGCATCATGTTTGGCTTGCTCTTGGGTAAGCCCGTCGGCATCGCGGGCTTGTCCTGGCTGGCTGTCAAGGCCAAGGTGGGAACGCTCCCGAACGGGATGAACAACGTGCACTTGCTCATCGTCGGCTTACTCGGCGGTATCGGTTTCACCATGTGCTTGTTCCTCGTCGAAATGGCACTCGCGGGTAACGCGGCGGCGGCGAACACGGGCAAGCTCGCCGTTTTGGTCTCGTCCACGCTCGCGGCACTCATAGGCGCCGGGTGCATGGCTCGACTTCCCGACCGAGACGCCAAGTTGAAGACGGCGTAATAAGGTTAAAAGGTTTCTTACTTTTTACGGACCGTCACAGGCGGTCCAACATGTGTCCATTAATAACAATCGCGACTATCATCGCGTACTCTCGTCGTTGCACGATGTCGCACGCGTCGATGACGACTCTATACTTTGCGCAAATCTCGAAGCAAGCTCGAATGCGCCATCGCTCGGATATACCGCGAAAGGATCCCACTGATCGACCTCGGCTCGCATCGATTCCGGGAACAGTCCCCAGAACAACGCGCCACGAAGTGAGCTTTCGGTGTCGTCTAAATTCCGCTTCACCTGCGAAAATACGCCCCTATAATAATTATTAACTCCACGTTC